TCTGGTTCACGTTCTGCCTGCTGTCTTCTGTTTACTCCATAAGTTCTTTTGGAGTAAGGAAATGTCTTGCTGTGCATTTATGAAGCACCAGGTATTTTTTTAAGCCTTCCTTGTGCCCCTGGGCAAGTAATTTCTTTCTGCCAGGTCTTAGTTGATGTCTCTGAGAAAGAAGGACGCCAAATAGTGCCCTTTGAAAGTACTGTGTGAGTACAGTGATGAAAACCTAAGCACAAACATCCACACACTTGAGAGGTGAGAGGGAAGACCTGAGATTTGTCATGTTATTCTTGGGTTTCCTGGTCATATATAGGGAAATATTTATTAGCAGTGTTGCTGGGGTGGAGTGTAAGGAGCTGCCTTTGACTTAGCCAGTTCTCACAAGTTTTGATAGGTTTTTTTGACTGGATGCTACCCAGAAGAAAAATGGCAGCAAATGTGCTAGAAGAGGAAAATCAGTTTTAAGCAGCCTTAGAATGGTGGGTAATAACAGTAGGAAACTACAGAAGGATAATTGATCAGTTTATCAGTAAACAGTCACTTGGCCATGTGAGAGCTAAATCTGTAAGAAATGGACCACAAAAAGCTGTCTTTGATTAAACATCTGTAAGCTTTTATTTTAACATGTCATGTAATCGTTTTGGCCTCTTGAGAAACCGCTTAAGGGGATCTGAATGGAAGGTTAAGTCCTGTGAAAAATCTAAGTTATCTGCTCTTTCCTGCCCCTTCCTCCTTCCTTTCCCTTTCCATTGACGTATGCATTCCTATTTCCTACATCTTTGAATGAAGTACATCTTGAGTGTGTATGAGGAGAGAGGAGGGGAAAATAATCCATAAATGTAAAGATTAAGGGAAGTATAGCTACAACTTCTTCAACAGGTACACCTCTTGTAAGTAGAATATATTGTAAATTCTGTGTACTGTATACAGTAGTATGGACTAGTTAAAAAAAAGCCAAAAACCAACTAAACCCTAACACTGCTGCTATCAATTTCTTAGCTTCTACATTCACATTGAAATCAGCAGTTTGCATACACCTTAGTAAAAAAAAAAATCAACCCTAGTCATTGATATGTCTTGGTTTTACTTTGTAACCTCCTCAAAATGCTGTGTAAAAAATACAGAATTCCCCTGTTCCCTTGATCATGTGATGCTCTGTGGGTGAGCAGCCTGTCCCGTTTCAGCCTCTCTCAAAGCAAGCAAACAGACTGGTTTCTGTGGCTGTGATGGTCTCGTGACAGAGGCAGGACAACGCTTGGCTGGCACGGTGGTGTTATAGTACTAAACCATATTTGTATTAATAAGATATTTTATATATTCGAGTGAATCTTTAATTTTAAAAATATTTGCTCAAATTTCTTTCCAGAATTAAATAACTACAAAATACTTAAATCATATTCTAGGTATTTTTTCGACTTCTCAAAGCAGCTGACTTCTGGCACAGAAAACCAGTGTTTGATAATGTATGGCTGGTAATAACGTAAGTTATATGACAGATAAATAATTAGTACCTTTAGTTTTCCTGTGCTGTAAATTGATTGCATCTTTTTGAGTGATTATGAGAAATAGTTTGTTGCATGCACTTCTGTAAAAGAAAACAGAAAATTTTCAAACAAAAATGCCCAAATAGGTAAAAAAAAAAAAAAAGGATAAAACTTGCATAAATACGTATTTCTCACTTTTGGAGATTGCTCTTTGGAAAGCTGTTGCTGTAAAAGCTCTTCCTTCCACATATAACACAAATACCAGAATATTCTGTGCTTCAGTGGGGCAGTCACAGCTTTCTTAGCAGCGACAAATACTGAAATGTTAAAAATAGATCAAGCTTTAAGAATCCCAGATATTTTCAAATAACAAAGGGTGATTTATGTGAGCTCATTTTGCACTTGGACAAAGTATAGAGGCGCTTTTGTACTATGATTAGCAAGGGCGCTGATGTCAATTTGCTTGTCTAGCTTTAAGCTTTATTCTGCTGCTAAATTGTGCTTTGTGCTGTAGTCCAGACAACCTTTGCATCTGCCTTGTTAGTGTGTAGTTTATGCAATTGCTTTTGGTTTTGAATATAATCTGTGCCAGTTTCAGAGTGTGATTCGCTATAGGACTGAAATAAATGTTCGCATGTGCACTATGTGAAAACCCTTCAAACATAGTAGCAGGTGCCAGCAGACTAAAGTCAATATTTTAAATATTTAAGACTTGCTGTTTTGTAGCCTGAAGGGCTGAAAGGAAATTTTTTTTAACTCAGTGTTTTTTCTCAGTTTTAGAGTCCTATTTACCTATTGATACTCAAAAGAAATTGTCAGGATTGCTAAGAACCTTTCATTCCCTAACACAGTACTAGAAGTAAATTTTTAGAAGAGGCACACCTGGTTGATGCAGAGATGATAGAGGTTTTTTTGCCTGGCGTTTTGTTGCTGCACAAACTGTGAGACAAACTGTGAGACATCATGCTTCTCAATTGCTCTTGTTCCTCTCCTATCTCTAATCTCTTTCCTCTTGATTTCTGCTTTAAAAAAGTCATCTGAGTGACTAAAGGCTGAAGTTAAAGATAAAGCTTGTTTCTGAAGCAGCTTGTAGCAGTTATCTGTCATCAGCCTTGCCTGGAGAGAGGCTCATCGACTGAAGCTTTGTGTTATCCCAGCATCTGAGTTGTCACTTGATTTGGAAGCAGGAAATAAAACTCTGCCAATGTTTTTGGGGCGATGTTAAATGCTGTTTATCTAGCTGTGCTGCTAGGATATACTCACATTTGAAATCTAAATCAGAGGGGTTTAATCTGTTATATCTTCTACATTTTAACTGTTCACTAGTTAAATTTACTGCTACTATGGAAATAGTTGCTTGACACTTTGACTTGATTCACACCATTCATCATTTAAAAGCAGATGCTGTTTTTCACAAGTGCAGTAAATACAATTGTTTTGTAGTTTTAAAGTACAGACATTATCTTAAAATCAAAAATCTTGTAGAGCTTTGCTAGTTGGAGAATGGATCACAAGCCTTAATTGTGCTGTCTGTCCTTTTTCCCTTTCTCCTGTTTTCTGTATTATCTTTTCATAATAGCTTCTGTAGCTTGATACCCCAAACAGGCATGCACAGTGGGGGTTTGAGTCTCTGGGGTGTCGCCCTGTTCTTCTAAGCATTCTGATGTTTACATTTTTGTAATGGAGTTTCTCACGCACTTTTATGTAAATAATGATTGTTTTTGCATTCCTTTCTGGAGGAGGAGAAATTTCATGAACTGTTGGTTTGACCAGTGTCATTGGAGAAGTGGCAATTTCATCCTCCAATCCAGAGTCATTTTTAAAATTCTAAATCTATCAAAATCAAGAAATAAACCTTGTTCTTTTTACCTTGGGAGTTTCAGCATGCGTGTCGTTCATTTCGGGTCCTACTGCAGCACTGCCGACAGTGCTCGTTCAGAGTGGGGAGACGGCAGTGCAGTACCTGCTCCTCGTCCCCCTTCCACTGGTGTGTTTGAAGGCAGCGCCTACAGAAATGGAATGAATGCGCTCTTGTGCCTCACAAAAATGGCTCTGAATCTTTCCCTAATACGCAGCAAGAAACTCTTGTTTTCAGAGCTGCTGTCCCAGTGTTTAAAGGACGGCACACATCTTGACCCCTTCTCGGACCATCCTTGCTGATTCCGGTCCTTTTCCTTGGTTAGCACACAGCCAGGGATGGCCAAAATGAAAATTCCCTCACCTGTCTTATTTATGCATTTCTTCTGCTGGTTGTTTTTTTTTTTTTTTTTTTTAATCTTTCAAAGGGCTTGCTGACAACCTTGTTTGACTATCCTAAGGAAGTTTAAGGTAGGGTGACTTGGGGCATGATGTGAGTCTGTGGTGTAATGCGCAGTGTCTTGGCTACTGCACTGATTTACTTGCTCTGCACTGTGTCTGGGCTCTGCTTTCAGATTTATCACCGTGAAAGACGTGCAGCTCTCCTTGTGAGCAGTGGCAGTGTGTCTGGTTTCTTGTGCTGTGCCCATTATCCTGGCACTGGGTAATAAAAAGAAGCTACTATCATGGTATTGCTGGGAGAGCTGAGGAGAAGTGCAGCCAAGTGGGGCAATGAAGATGCTGCTGGAAGCAGCAGGACAGCTGTATGCTGGCCTTGCTTGTGTGGTTTCAGTTCAGGTCTTCAGTGAGGATTGTGGCAGGTGATGGAGGCCCATGGGATGAAAGGCAGCTAAGGATTCGTTAGAGAATACGACATTTTGCATTTGCTTCTCTCTTAGACCAGCTTCTTTCTGCAGCATCAGGAGGGCTGCTATAATAGTCATAGTGTCAGGCTATCAAATTAATTTGTTCTGTACTGCATTTGTCTGGTAAAACTACATCATTTGGTCATTCTCTCCATCCCCATCTCTCTGACAGTTTCAAAAAATAATAATGTGGCTCTTTCTCTGTAAGAAGTACTACTGTAGAAATATTATGAGGTTCTAAATGCAGAGTTCCCCTGGATTCGAGGTGCATGTACAGTGTAAGTAGTGTCTTTTCCTTAAATGCAGGTCATATTGTTGATTATCAGTGAAAAATTCAGTTAAAATGCATCAGCCTGAAACAACATATATTGGGAACAAAACACCATGGAACACTTAAAAATGTATTTTATTTTGTCTTTCTCATGCCTGTGACAGCTTCCTTCAGAAGCCCTTTTTGTGTGTTTTTTTGCCCCTTTCCTGATCCCCACCCCACTTTTTTCTTTCATGTATTCATGCTTTCTCATTTTGTAAGTAGTGATTTAATTTATATATCCACTTGCTACAAACAAAGTCAAGATATAAAATTTAAAATACAAATTCACTAATCCTCAAGTCCACTACTGTAACAATACCTAATAGCATTAAGTGTGGATATTTGATGTGTAATCTCTTAGTATAATAATTGAACCAGTTATTAGTACTTGGTTCTACCCAGGTTGGAATCCCACATAAAAGGTCTTAAAGTGTGATTTCTTCCTTCTAACTTTTCTTCCTTTTCTCCCTCCCCAATTTTCAGGCATGGAAGAGAAGGTGGTTTGTGCTTCGGAGCGGCCGCCTAACGGGGGATCCAGATGTATTGGAATACTACAAAAATGACCATGCCAAGAAGCCTATCCGTATTATTGACCTAAATTTGTGTCAACAAGTGGATGCTGGATTAACGTTCAACAAAAAGGAGTTTGAGAACAGCTATATTTTTGATATCAACACTATAGATCGAGTTTTCTATTTGGTAGCAGACAGCGAGGAGGAGATGAATAAGTGGGTTCGATGTATCTGTGATATCTGCGGGTTCAACCCTACAGATGAGGGTAAGTTCTGTTGCTTTTTCTGAGAAAGTGCAGTGCCTATGTGTGAAGAACATTCCAAAGATCAGGTGACTGTCTTTAGCTGGCGTATGTTTTAAAGCTTGTGTGTATTGGCCTTGAAACTTCCTTGTTATCCTCAAAAAAAGTAAGCAGAACAGAGGGAGGTACTCAGAATTTGTTACAAATTAAGTGTGCCGTAGAACTTGGATGACACTCTTCTGTGTGATGTTAGTTCTTGGAAGTACAGGAAAAATCTCAAGTAAAATCATGTGTGGCAGTAGATCTTCATAATCGTTAAAGGAGTCCCATTTGGTATAAAAGCATATGGTTATACAAGCAGGAATGAGTGCAAAATGTCAGGTTTCTAATATTATCATTTCCCCGTCTGCTTTGAAACTTGGGGGAAAAGAAATCCACCCCCATCAGCTAAAACAAACAAAAAATAACCTGCAGTTGTGCTCTATCCAGCTCAAATCCTACCAGAATAGATACTGTATGAAGGCAGCTTGTAGGAAACACAATGCTGTATTTAATTCCTTGCAAATACCTTGGGGCCACTGCTTGTCCTGAATCCATTCTTTTTTATTTACTTATTATTCCTGCATTCCTTTTGGAGATTAGTGGGTTACAGGCCTTGCTGTAGATCTGTGCACAAGTTCCAAGAAAGCATTAAATAGGAGTGGTAAGAGGGTTATACATAAGGCATAAGAGGGTTATTCATAAGGCCTGACTGAAGGGGCTAGAATTAAATCCCTGCTTTTTGTAGGATTGTGGAGTGAGGGAGGTGAAGAAGAAAAAGGGGCTTGCATCACTTTGCTCCAGCCAGATCCTTAAAAGTGACTGGAAAATACTGTTGCGTTTTGAAGAAGGGGCCCTTTTCTTTCTCCTTCACACAACTGAGAGTTGACAGCATTGTCTGTTTTATTGGTTTAGTGATGCCTTGCAATGCATTGAGCAAGAATTTTAAGAAAGGAAAATGGGAAAATCAGTTGCTGAGTGTTTATTGCCAAGTTCTTATTTTACCAAGATGAATCTTCATGCCCAGTGAAAGAGCAGGTCATAAATGTACTCTAAAAATCTGTGTTCACCTGCAGCTTATTTTGGGAAGTTAAAGAACAGGTGAAGTTCAGATAGTAAAAAGACATTATTATTTTAGTCTGGACCTAAACAACAGGAGTGTGTAGCATAAGAAGTCTTTCTATTACCTGTGGAAGCAGAAGATAGTTTTCTTTGAAGCTGGAAAAAATGTCTCTTGCCAGAATGGCTAAGGGTTTGTTGTGAGTGTCCTGTCATTGGCATCCATTGCTCAATCAAGAACTAGGAACACCACTACCCTGTTGTTCCTTCTGGGGTTCATTTGGAAATCCAGGAACATTGCCTTCTTGGATTTATGTGGGAATCTATAAAATCAGAGGGAGCTATAAGCGAAAAAGGTGTCCCCAGTGTTTTGCTTGGAGCTGTATTGAGAGACTGAATGGACCTGATGTACCAGTAATGGCTGTTTCGTGTCTTCTGCTGTGGAGATGTCCTCTGAAATACTTTCAGCAGGATGAGGATAAATGTTTAAAGAAAGGTAAAAATAGAGGAAATGTTGTTTTAAAAATGATAATTGAGAAGAAAAGTTGAAGGGTTTTTTTTTCCCTGAGAAGAAAACACTGAGGGAAGAACTGACTTTCAAACACAAGCTGCGATAAGCAGGACATGGATCCGTTGTTATCTGTAGAGAGAACTTATTTTTCTTTCAATGAGTGATGTAACGATAAAGAAAACCCTTTGAAGGATGTCTAAGCACAGGCTGTGAAAGTCCTTCCCTAGAATTGAGTAGACATCTGTGATGCATGTTTTATATGTGATGCAGCTCCATGTTTCTGTTGTTTAGTGAACTGTGTTCTTGGCAGAGCAGGGAAAGGACGAAGTGATCTTACTATATGCAGACATGTTACTTGCATGTATTAATTTGAATAAAGATAGCAGTAGCAAAATAAACCAGAAGAAATAAGGTAGAGAAGAAGAGGGGGAAAAAAGGAAGAACAAGACATTAAAATTTACAGTTGCATTTACATAAACAATAAAATGTAGTGAAAAAAGTTTCTGTCATTTTAAGGGTCATACATTGAAGGAGCTGCAGCTTGCTTTGCACATGATGCTTTCAAAGTTTCTTTTCAGGCTGCTGCTATTTGGTGTATGCCTTCCTACCTTTTTGCCTTTGGAACAATAAAATCTTGTATTGGCTTTTTTTAAATGATGTTTTGATAATCCATGCACTGCAGGTTGGTTGATCACAGCTTGGGTGCAATATCAGAGACAGACAGGATGAATGTAACTTCACCTTCCCATCCTGACTCCTTCTCTTTGCTAATTAAATAGTGGGTATTGGAAGGATGCTCTTTAGGGTGCCCTTTCTGCATGAAGGGTCTGCCTGTAAGAAACAAAAAATGTTCTTCTTTGACAGCTTTAAAAAGTTCATGACAGGGTCTAGCACAAATGGCAAAGCAAAATTGCCATCCCAGTAGCATGTGTTGAATATTCAAGACCTTGGTCATTAAAGTTCTCAGAAGTAAGGAGAAATAGCTGAGCTTCAATATGAAGGAAGGGCAGCTCTGGAAGAGCATAAAGTGCAAGGACAAAGTACTAAGCTTAAAAAAAATTTGCAGCTAGTTTGCACTATGGAGATGATGTACTTAATGAAGAGCTGAGGCATTTTTGTATCTCTCAGATATGATTAGCTAGAAAGAATTGTTGGCTCAAAGGTGAGGTGCCAGAAGGATGGGTGATTGATGACCTGCAGTGCGGTAAAAAGGAACAGAAGAACTGAGTTAAGCGTTAGGAGAGAAACTCTCCAGAGAAGGGTCATGAGTCTGTCTGTTGTCACAGAAGTGAGGCAGTAGCTTTAGAAGGAATAGTGGCAGAAAGGCATCTGTTTTTTGAAGGCTTTTTTGGTTGCTTACTTTGAGTAAAAAAAGTTGGGGGGATAATGGCCACTGAGACATACAAATGTGATTTTTTTTTTAAGAGTGGAATAACTGAGAGGAAGGTGATGATAGACTGTGAAGAATGATGTTAGAGCTTTCTAGCAGGATTGCACAGGAATAATCAAGGGTTTGATAGAACTGGTAGCTGGTGGCTCAAGCTGAGATGATCACTGTCTGTTATCCAAAGGAAAAGAGAAGACAGCAGACAGGATTAAGATGTCTTCTACTGTAGTAAAAGAACTGGTGGTTAAGTGAGGTGGTGATGATGAAGAATAGAGCACAAAATCTGCAGCAGTAGATCTTCCCTTTCAAGATGTGAGGCAAAAATACATATATTTAAAAAATAGTTTACTATCGGGGTATGATCAGAATCTTAATCTTGAGTGTTTGAGGTCATTATCTTAAGCTGACAGCTGCATGTAACAAAAGTTCACATGGAAGGTGATTCTGTTCTTCCTTGAGGAAAAATAAACAGAATCTATTCTGCCTAGGTAATTGAGTTAATTTTCTCTTGTTTCTGCTGGACACTGGTTGTGCTGTTACTGTTACTGCTGAGTCTCTGGGAGCAGGGTTGGCAGAGTGTTTGGCAGGTCCCCGTGAGCCTGAGGTGCTGAGAGGCAGCAGGTGGGGTGGTGGAAGCCCCTCTGGAGCACAGAGATGCCTGCGGCCAAGGAACACTCTGGGCATTCTGGTGAAGAAACATCTCCCAGCTTTTTAGTGTGGTGGGCTGAACTAGTTCTCTTCACAAGCCCCTACAGAAGTTAGTCTATAGCACGACTCCTTGATTATTTTTCCGGCTACAGATGTTTCCTTATTTCTCCTTTTAAATGAATAGTCTTCAAAACAAAATTGCAGGTGGAGAGGCGGTGTCAATTCCAAGTGCAAATGCTTTGGTATTTTCAAATTTTAAATGGGTAACCAAAACTACATCTTAGGATTACACAAGAACTGCAGATAGAAGAACTAAATTTTAGGTGTTAGCTCTGAAAGCTGGAAACTTGTGTGTGTGACGGAACGTGGAGCAGTCAGTCGTGTTTCTGGTGCGGGCGCAGGAGGCAGGGTTGTCCTGGACAGAAGGCGCGAAGCTGAATTCTTCATTCCTTAAAAAAGGTATCGTGTTTATCTTCAGGAAGAGAGACATACTGTGAGATTATGTTAAACTAAGAAAATAAACATATGAGGTGCATAGGAAGTTTTTATTAGAGTATTTTAAAGGACTTTCTCTGGCTATAGCAGAGCGGTTCGGTCTGGAGCTTTACTGCATAGATTTCATGTTGATGCCAGGCTGTTCACTTAATGCCAAATCCCAAATCCATGCTCGTGTGTCTGTGCCTCTTTTGGGCTGGATCTGGCTCTCACCTATTGAATTAATGTGTGAACAATGCAAGTGCCCATCAGCACACATGTGCTTGTGCTCTGTGTGTGCGTATGTGGCCCTTTGATTCCAGGATGTCTCAAACAAACAGAGAAGTTCTTTTAAGGCTTCAGGTGTAGTTTTGAAGTTTTTATTTGATGGGATTTTTTTAAATTATAGCTCTTGTTATTGTATCTGTGAATTTTTGGACAAGGATATTGCTCTGATATTTTGTTGGCCACTAGTTATTTTAATAACACATGCGTTATAGTAAGTGGATGGAATGAAACCTCTCAGAAGAATGGAATGATCATGCCATTGCACATCTGTTGCTGATTCACTGTTACAATGGAAAAATCCCATTTCTGTTTTCATATTTCTACTTACAGTGTGCAAAGAATGCATTTTCTTACTTTGATTGCAATTTTGACATTTAAAGAAATGCATGCTGTAATGAGGCCTCTGTGGTTTTTTTACTATGGGAACATTTCAAGTTTTTGCATAATTACAATATTAAGAGACTGTACATTATAGTGTAGAAAACAATTTCATTTTTGCTTTCATTAAAAAACAAACACCAAAATATAAACCCAGTCCTAAATAGAAACTCCCACACTCAGATTTTCTAGGTTGAACACAAAGCAAGATATGTAGGAACTTGTGGGATAAAGCAGCTTTATATATTTGAGGAGGAAGAAAGTGGAGCCTTTTGTTATTCTTGTTCAGAAAATGCTCTTTTTACATCATAAATTTTACAAGATATCAAAATGATTATGAAGAAAAAAGTATAAATTCTAGTGAAAATGAAGCCTGTAACTACTCATAACAAACCAACTGAGAAAAGATAAGACTTTTGCCCTGTGTTCAGAAAGCTGATTATTCTAGCTGTACTGAATCCAGGAATTATAAAAACAAAATAGAATTCTTGTTAGACTAATTTGCATGTTAAATTTTCTGGCTGTTTTTCCAGCTCCCAGTTATTTCAAAGCAGTCTGAGTGTCTGAGCTCTGGGAACAAACCAAATGACTTGTAATGCTCTTTGGTGTGCAGATGACCCCTTCCCTAAAAATCTGCTCGTCCAAAGTGGAGCAAGTTGATGATGTACTCTTTGAAATCATAAATAGCTGCTGGAAGAGCAACTTTCCTTCGTATCACCTTCAGGAGTGCTTGGCTGAAGAGAATATTTGAGAGGGTGCAGATAGGCAAAGAGCTTTCATTTGCTCAGTGATGAAAGTTTTAGCATTACTTCTTCCCTTGTAGTAAAATTTGAAATGGCATCAATGCATAAAGCAAATCTCAAGTGCTTTAGACCAAATTCAGTAGATCTTTGCATCTGGCATTAGCCCACACTATTTAACACATACAAAATGCCTGTGTGAGGATGGATTTCAGATCAGAAAGTTGGTATTTTAATAGTTAATGCTCTATATTAACTATAAAAACCAAACAAACCTCAACCAAACCACACAAACACCTATCTCAAACAAACCCCACACAGATCTGTGAGAGAATCAGGGATTTTATCAAGTATTATCTGTGTCAAAAGAAAGAGACGACTGGTCAGAAGGAAAGTGTCCCTAATGATCCATTAACATTAATGGGCTCCAAATCCTTGCTCAGAGGACAGATCATAAAGCTTCCAGACAGCTGGACAGCGTCACCTTGAAAATTCAGTAACAATTGAAAGGGACACATTAGGAAAGGAATGGAATGAATCATTGTTATATCTTTGTAAACCAGTGGGTCCTAGACTTTTTTTGTGTGTGTGTGCTTTGTGTGCAATAGTTACTTTCTCTTCTCAGGAAAGAAAAAGTAGCAGAGCTAGGAAAGGTGAGGATAAAGGGAAACCAGATGTACAATGAAATGGCTTCTGCACCAGGAAGAATTAGGCAGTACCAACTCAGTAAAAGCTATGACAAAGTACTGTAAAGTTGGGAATGGGAATTCTGAGTAGGAGGTAATTGTCCACAGTTTCTTTGAAGATGGGAGCTGAAATATATCAAGTGAATATATCAGGTTTAAAAGGAAGTGGGTTTTCATGTCATGTGTAGTAAGGTGTGGACCTCACTGCCATAGGATGGTAGTGAAGTTCAAAAATATAAAGGCACTCAGAAATAGGAGAAATTCAGAGCACAGTGTGTCAGAGGGTAGGTCAGCAGAGGCTGTGGCAGCAGCCCGTGTCTTGGGGTGCCCCAGAAGCTGGAGCAGTGCGTCAGGCTTTGTGGATGCATTGGCCTCTTTCAAAATTGGTGATTTTATTTTTCCCTGGAAAGTCACCCTCGAGTTTTGCTGCCCTTCCTGGGAATGCTGGTGCGTGATGTGTTTAATTGCATCAGGTCACGTAGGTGCTGTGTACATGCTGGGCTCTCCTGACGGCGTGACGGCTGACTGGCACACCCACGTTCCCTGGGAGCCCCAAGGATCTCCTGTTGGATTTCTCTTTTTCTCCTCCCGTGAGCTCGGCACCGGGCAGCTCCAGTGGCACGAGGGCTGTGCGTCGCCAGGCCCGGCAGCGGGGTGGGAGCTCTTCAGGATCTCATCTCTTAAGTGTGGTCAAAGAATGATGTGTTTGGCAGGAAACCTTTCTTCCCCGCCCTCACTGGTGCATGCATTTACTTCTGTTCTTCAGTTCTGCAGGGGACAGGGCAGACAGCTGCTTGTCCTTTCTCCCACCGCTGCTTTTCCAGAAAGCACAAAGAGTACATTCCTGGTGGGTCATTCAGGCACTTCTCTGTTCCTGCTGTTGAACCCCTGCATTAGGGGAATCATGAAACATTAGTAGGGGCCTCAAAGAGGCTCCTTCAAGCTCTCGAATTTCCTAAATGATAGAAAATTGTTCATATTTTATATTTAAGCATGTAGAAAGTAAGCTGCTTTTTTAGTAGCTTTTGCATCCAAGTACTGCTGTATTTGAAAGGAAAAAATGAAGTGACTCTAGAATACAAATAAATAGGATGTGCGTAGTAATTGTAAAGACAAGGGTATTTAAGTGAACATCGGCTATTTTAAGTAACAGTTTTTAGATAACAATTAATGTAATGGATTTTACCTTTTTTTACCCCCATTTTTCTAAACCATAGGATGTGCTTTAGGAATATGTGTTTCAAGAAATGTAATGTATAAAGATTTTATGAATTATAAACATCTCTATACTATTATTTATCTGATATACATGCATGAATTTATTTTTATGCGTGTGATTCCTTGATACCGTCTGTTTCTTTTCCTCCTTCTGCTAACTAGTTTGATGAATAGGTCAGCCTCAACCCTTCATAATAACGTTTTTTAGGCTATCCTACCTTTTCAGGAAGGTTGAGTTGAGGAATTTTCATACACCTAGACTTCTTCCAACTACATGGGTGTGGTGGGATTTAATTTCTGAGCCTGTTTAGATACCATGGAAGTTCAAAGCAAGCGTGGCTATTTCTATTTCCATGTCTAAATCATTGTACTTGGTGTGCACAGAACTGGAAGCAGGAGGGCTGTGTTCTGGGCTGCTCATCTCTCATTTCCCAGAGCAGTGCTGGGAAGCAGAAGCTGAATGAAGCTGCTTTGTAGTGCATAGCTGGCCTGTAAGGCTGACAGGAGCAGGAGCATTAGATAGTAACGTGTTCATTTCAACAGTGCTAATAATCAGCATCCATTGTTGGGATGTGCAGTTTGGAATGTACAATGAGTTGCAAGTAAGCCTTGATAATTAGGAAATAGTTTGCTTAATTATGTTGTTCTTAGTCAATGTCATTAAAACAATGAAAAAGCCAAATGATTGTTTAATATTTGATGATGTAGATATTTTCTAGCCTCCCAGATAATTTAATAGTCTGGATAGATGTACTCGGAAGGCAAAAAGAAGTAGCATGGATAGGAAGTGGATAAGAATTATAAGGTTATTTATAAGAATGATAAGGTTTTTTAAAAAAAAGAAAACCACCTCCTCTCCCCCCACCCCAAAAGAAATCCAAACTAAGCCAAAACAAAACAAGGAAATGAAACCAAAACCAAACCCAACCCCTTCATTTATTGCACAACAATAAAAAAGGAGGGTATGTAATCAGGGGGCTTAGTGGAACATGTTAGCTGTTGTACCTTTGCATTATTTTTCTAGTTGTAAAGAATCTTCCATTGCCAAAGCAGCAGTTTTCCTGTCTGTTTTCAGATACTGAGAGTGGCCAGGTCTTGCCTGGTAACTAATCTCAAACGTTGAAGTGACCTTGGTCAAAAAAGAATGAATACCTCCAAGTGCTGACTCGGGTTGCTGTGTTGAAGTAATAACTCATGGGCTTGTGCCTGCCCTTGATTAGAACAACAGATTTGTGTTTTTAGCTGTATTACCACAGCTGTCAATGTATTTGTTCTTTCTGTGACCAGAAAGTAGGTTAAATAAGTCTTTAAATAAGGCAGAACCTCTGTTTGCAAGGCTTACTTAAGAAATTGATTGCAGTTTGAAAAGATAAAGATTGACATATAAATGTAAATTCCCTGAAACAAGCGTTAACACCCAGATGTTATCGTGTCCAATTTAACAAATTTGAACTAAAACCTGAGAGTTTTCCCATCCTCTGTTAATTTCCTTTTCTTACTGTTGAAGGACTGTTTCTTCACTATATAAAGAAATCTTTGCTTCTGTGTTTGCAGATGCTGTGAAGCCCCCAGTTAGTTCTGTACAGCCATCTGCCGAGTTACCCTTGCCCATCAGCGCCTCCCCGCCCTCCGTGCAAGCGGAATCGTCCCTTCCTTCTCCTTACCGGCTCATCAACGTGCCCCCTCTGGAGTCTGCCTCTGGGCAGGAAGATCCTCAGGACTACTTACTGCTGATAAACTGTCAAAGTAAAAAACCTGAACCCATGAGGTAAGTGACTCTTGTTTCTTAATAACGCTTCTTTATATTACAGACCAAGAATGTTTGTGCTAAATGCATTTTGTTACTACTGAGATACTGAGCATTTGGATGCACATATCTACACAGGGAAGCTGCCTGTAACTTTTTTTTTTTGTTCCATGCATTAAACCTTTTGCTGCAATAGTAAGTTGTTTGATCAGTGTTATATTGCATTCTCCAAAAGTGTTGACAGCAAGTGCCAACATGAAATATCACAGTGATGCATCAATCCAGGCCTTCCATTGGAGCTTTGAGTGATACATGACACAAAGTACACTTTCTTTAGCCACAATCTGGTGTGCTTAGTCCAGTTCAGTACTAGAAAAAGCTGGAGGAATTTAGCCTTTCTCCCTCCTGGCATTTGGTTCCCCAGTTTTGCCAGTTAAAGCTTTCATGGAAGGGGTTAAGAAAACATGCTGATGTTTATTATCACCTGCTAGGTTACCACATCACTGAGTGCAGTGATCTTCAAGTGGCATTTGTTTACTATTACTAGCATGGTTCGGACTCTCAAACAAGAATAAAACCCAATTATTTTATGATAACAAGGAATGCAGAGGCTGAAACCACTCGGTTTCCATATCCTGAATTTCAGCTTTTTCCTAATAACAGATACTTAAAAGGAAACTCAAATAAACTTTAGTTTTTACTGAATAAAGAGTGCCTACACAGTCAGTTATCTAGAGAAGTGTGCAATAGGAAATTTGAAGGAAAAATTTAGAACTTCTACAGAATTAAATTTCTATTTATTTCTCCAGCTGCTACTTTCAACTTAAATAAATCCACAGCACCTCCTGCACAGGAGGATATGTTATTCATATTAGCTACCTGGGAAATATCACTGTGTTTTGCCAGAATGGATCATAGAGCAGGCTGCCTGGGGACATACTGGAGTCTCTGTCCTCTTTTAAAAAAACTATTTAAAAGAACCAAAAATGAACTTGACTGGACAAGCTCCTGAGGAGCCTTTGCTGTTTTTGAAGGGTTTGCTTAGGGGTATTGGAAAAGCTGAGCAGATAATGTCCAGAGGTCCCTTCCGACCTTAAACATTCTGTAGGAGAACCATATAAATCCCTCTGAGAAGCTTCTTTTCTGCACTAATTTCAAATAAAATCTGCTGAGATATTTACAGAAAAAGTAACAAAACATCATATTATTTTTGTAATTACAGACAAGTGCCATGTGCTCCGCGCTCCCTTGGCATTTTTATCTTGCTCTGTTGTGCTTGAGTTTCCTGGTCCATGTACTGATGATTGTGTGGAAAAGTATCCACCCTTTACAGTCTTCCTTGTAAAACAAGGGAATGAGCCTAGAGTTCCCCCAGAGTGTGGAACATGTTCCAGGCAGGGTGGGATGTGCCAGAGCCTCCTGCAGGGGACAGGGGAGCCCAGTGTTGGAGATTTCAGTGTTCAGTGATGTTCAGAAGCTGAGAGTGCTGAAGAGGAATGTCAGCATTCCTGCCAAAAGCTTTTGGGTTTGGTGTCACTTCCTGAACAGCTTGGCAGAGGAATTGACTTGGATTTCAGCAATCCTGGCCTATCAGAAACGTGTCGGAGTGTCCATTTGCTTTTGCGAGGGACAGGCTCACAGCAGAGTTGTACCGCCACGACGTGAAGGTGTTTTTTGGAATGATGGAGGTTGGGATGTGTAATTCTGACCTGATTTCCACAGTTATGTGATGTGTGGGTTAAGTAGAGGATGAGGAGACCATAGAAGGGGCCACAAAATGTGGTACAGAGTCCATGATTAGCCTGCAGAATTTCTCAAGGAGTCACTAGTGACACAGGAGAGAAGGTACTGGGGAAGGCTAAGGTCCAGTGGTGATAAAATACCTAGTGAACTGAAAGAACAGAACAAAACATTTGGGAGTGTAGAGATTGTTTAAACAAATGTTGGTTTTATAGGAAAATCTGAAGACATGGACATTATGATCACTTGGAGATTATGAGTTTAGTTTATTTTCTGTAACTAAAAAGCTGTGTCCTTAAAGTAAAAAGGTTGTGATCATGAAAATTCAGAATAACAGTTGTGCTGGGCTTTCAGTTCCACCTAAAAGGACTGCCTATGTTTTATGTCTGATAACTTAGGTAAGCTGCTGGATTTGGGACAGAGTATAGAGCATATAGACATTTTCCTATGGAATGAGAGCTTTGTGCATCTCAGTAGCACATTGCTAAGATGATTAGTAAGAGTGTACTTTACCCCAATCCATATCCTTACAGACAAAGAATAAAAATTAAATGGCTGCATCATTTTCCTGTTTTCCGGTCTTGGAACAATTTATCTGGGTATTTCATACAGACTTAGTGTCAAGTGCAATGCTTAATAGCTGTAATTAAACAGGCAAGTACTGTTACTTAAATGTTTTCCCTTTAGACTTAGAAATTACCAGTATGCAAAGGGAACATTTTCTATTTTGATTCTGCATGTTACTTTACAGGTAACTGAGGACCACTGAATTTTATTTCAAGGCTTTGATGTTCTTTTCTGGGCGAGATGGGTCACTGTGAAACATAGATGTATCTGAGTCACCTCTTTGGGATTTTTGAGAATTGTAGTGTTTCAGACCTAGAAAATCATTATTACATGTTCCATTAAAGTGTCATAGAGTGCACCACATGCTGTTGTGAGACTGTCTTGTATGCAGCAATTGCAGCTGTAACTATCACTTGCAGTACTTTGTCTAAAATAGTTTCTTGCTCTGATCACTGCTGACTTAAGAAAGAGCATTGTTTCACTGTAGCATTTAGGGAGATTTTTAAGGTTGTGTTTGGATCCTAGATAAGAAAATGCAGCCAAACATTGCTTCCAAATCCCTTATTGTTCTGGCTCGTTCAGTAGGTGTACTGAAATACTAAATGCTGTCTTCCTCATCTTTCCTATTGTATATGAACCAGCCAAGGGTCACCTTTTCTCTCAGAAGAAGGGCAGGAATACCTGCTATTAGAAGACTTTGAAAGTAAAAAGATTCCGCTTCAGTGAGTGAACAGTAGCCATTCTTAGAACATGTGTGAGAAATTAATCACAGAGCCATTAACTTGCCTGAAAATACTGTTTGTCTGAGACTCATCTTGCATGGTGTTCATGAGTTTTAACAGAAAAACTATATAACTTTTGCTTCCATTTTCTGAAAAGAGGTCTGGATGCTATTTATTTTTATGTCTGTCCTGTTTTTTCTATGCTTGCTGTTGCTGTCCCACATTGCTGGCACACAAGAGCAGTTTTGCTGCCATTTTGTTTATAATATTCTGTTTCATTAGTCACATTGATTCCTGTGGATGGCAAAAGACTCAGCTGAAAAGGATGAGTGGTCAAGCCAGCCCAAATAGTTAATTTGCAGGAATGAGATGATGACCCCTCAGACTAAAAGGCTTGGTGTGCCTTGTTCTGGGTCTCTGTCCACAAGTGGTGTGTGGTGCGTGGAGCCTGGCTGGCTCCTGGGCTCCCCTTCCTCAGTGCCTCACCTCCTCTGGGTGCAGCGTAATGAGTGCCCAGGCCTCGCAGCTCAGCTGGCTGGGCAGTTTGCTTTCCTTGGTGTGTGGGAGGAAATGGCCAGGCCTAGCACTGAGTGAGGGCTGGTGTGGCCACTCACCATCGCTTGCACGTATGTGATGCGCACATGTGATAACACTGAATTCATATCATAGTCATCTTCTGCTAATAAAGTGAGGAGTTGTCATTGTGTTACATCCAGCTCTGCCATTATTGTAAATGGAGGTGTAAAAACCCTTTAATACTTATCGTAATAACCATTTGTTAATGGAATATTTAAAGCATTTTTTTTTAATTGAGCATTTTTTAATTACTAAAGAGAAAATTAAATTCCTGGAGTATAGAAGTCACAAAAAAACCCTCAAAAATACAAACCAGGAGTATGGTCTGCTCCTGTCAACTATGCACTGTACATTCTCAGAATTATATATGGTGTCGTTATCATGGTCAGTGGTTAATGCTGACTTTTAAAAATAGTTAAAATTGTAAGGCTGAATTCTCTGGCTTCATGTTGGCATAAACTGTTTTCTTTCTTTCACGGTGTCTTCGGACTTTCAGTTGTGCAAAATCAGATTGCTTACTACCCATTCATATTTTGAAAACTGTTTCAGTAGACTAAGATGTTGATTCCAAAAGATTGCTTTCAAAATTGTGAATTAAATCAGAAACTCCCTCTTGTAATAAGAAATGTAAGCTGTTGCCATCAGCTGAGCAAATGACAGACCTAGCTGTCTCATGGTTTTTGAAAGCCTTCTGTTTGCACGAGTGCTTGTGGTCAAGAAAGAAGAAGCATCGTTCACTTAGACCCAGAAAAACTCCTATATTTAGAAGGATAGTATTTGTTTCTTGCATTTCATGGGTAATCGTTAGGCTCTGGCATTGTAAATATGCTGTTGTTTCTTTTTGAGCTTTGGTTATATATTCCTGCGTGTTTTTGAAGATAAATGTAGTTTTTATGTTTTATTCCTGTAGTTTTAGATTTTTTTCCTTTTAAAGTACATCCCAGTGAACTGAAACTAACAGCTTTGGTTCCACAATTAATTTTCAGTAGGTGTAGACTGCCCACTTTATTTTTATAGTATAAAATTTAAAGATCCCAGTCCTTGCCATATTTGAGAAATGCTTGACTTTTTCTGGGATTTTGGTCTAAATGGATATCATAGAACTAGGACAGTACATTTAGAAAGCGAGGAACTCCTGAATCAATCCTTTGAATAAAGAGGAGGGGCTGCAGCAGAGCCTGAGCTTAGTGTTCACAATCTATTATGCACTCTGTAACCTCCTGTGCTTCCTTCAGTCCTGTGTGCTCTATATTTTGCAAGTGTTTTAAACTTCTGGTGGCTCATACATGAGTTTTTGAAGCTCTGAGGCAGCTGTTAAGAAACAAGAGAAATATATATTCATGGTCAGCATCATGAGTCATGTAGGAGATTTTACTTCCTTGGTTATGCAAAGAACGAATAATGAGAAAAGTATCTTCTTTTTTGGGGGGGGTCGATTAAACTAAATGCAGATTAAAGTTCAGAGTTACCTGGAAACGTGTTCTGACCAGTGACAGAACTGAAATCTATGTTTAAGGTAGTAATCAGAGCAAAATTACGATATTTTTTCTAATGGAAATTAGGTGCAGAGCCTGTTAAATAAGGGGGAAAATTATTCTTACGGTAGTGGGTGTACTTTATGTATTTTATTCCTCAAAACTTTTGGAACTGTGTGGTCCAATTGCTTAATAGAGCTTACTAAGAGTTGTGTTGCAGGTATTCATTGATACCCGTGCATGCTGAAATATTTACATATGCATGTATAAATTAACACAATGGTATGCTATTGAGGTAGTGAAAATAGGAAATATGTTATGTTTGATCAAAAAGTGTATGGACTTCCTTAACTACACCACTACCATCTCCAGTGCTAGTATTTTGCCACTGTTTGGACTTTCATTTAATCAAGAAAGCCAGACTGATAACAGAAATTCTCTGCCTGGAGCACACTAAATGGAGAGGTTTAGAAAGGAAATCAAATTATTGTAATGTGGTTACTTTCCATGTAAGTTTACTGGTAGTGGTTAGTATTTGTACTAATGAGTGCTGTTCTCATAAAAGAATTTCCTCATCTAACAATACCACCTTCATTTGCATTCAAGACAAAAGGTCTCTGTTGCACATGGAACCTATGGAATTTTTTTTTTCCCCTCAAAGAACATACCATTTTCCTCCTATTCGTGATTTTAGCTCTTATTTCTCTTTTCCTTATATATTTCAAATGGGTTTTATATGGTCAGTGTAACTTCAGGCACGCATTTAGGGGAGTTACAAGCAGTCATATTTTTTCTCTTAACATTTTTTTCTAAATTATTATAATGAGCAAGTACTGTAAGTCGAAGAACTGAGCATGTTATTTTTACCTTTAACAGTGCCAATAGTGTGTTGCTGGTTTGCAGCATGGGTTAAAAAAAATGATTAAAAAACCTCCAGCCCCCAAACTTGGCTTCACACAGGCATCCTGAAAATCACTTGCTTTATGAAACATCAGCCTGTTGGTAAAGCTCCACATTTGTGCTTTATATTTCACATGAAAGAATTTGTATGAATGTAGTTACTTAGGATGCCTAGGTATTCCTGTTTGTTTAATAATAGAGTGCCTGCATCTCATTTTAAAAAAATGAAAATAAAAGAATCGGAAGACACTGTTAGACTTTTCAGTTGGTTCCATGAGAAACGTTGTCTTTATGATTTGCGGTGTTTGTTTTTCTCTGCGTGTTGGTCAGCATTCTAATCTCACGATCTCACGTGCAGGTCTCAGGCGGACTCTGCCAAGTCCAGCTCCTCAGAAACAGACTGCAACGACAACGTGCCGTGCCACAAGAACGCCGCCGCGCCGGGGAGCAAGCACGCGGTGAACGGCTTCTTCCCGCAGCAGGGCGCCTACGACTCCCCGCCGTCCCGCTGCGCGCCGCCCGACTGCGGCCTCTACAGCCTGCCCAGGAGCTACTCCCAGGATGTCCTGCCCAAGGCCGCGTCTCCGTCTGGAACCGACGCCGAGGGAGAGCAGCACGTGTTCAATACCCCGTCGGCAGCGTCGCTAGACACGCAGATGAGGCACATCTCCATTAGCTATGACGTTCCCCCCACGCCCGGAGGTACTTACCAGATCCCACGGACTTTTCCAGAGGGAACGTTGTCTCAGACTTCAAAACTGGAGACTATCCCGGACATCCCCCCGCCTCGGCCCCCCAAGCCCCACCAGGCAGCGGACCGCTCTCCCGTGGAGACGTGCGGCCTGAGCCGCGCCGCGTCGGACACGGAGAGCAGCTACTGCGTGCCCGCCGCCGGAGCGCCGCCCGCACGCAGCAACACCATTTCCACGGGAGACCTGAGCGTCCTCCGCAAAGGTCAGCGCTGCTTGGCTTGGGCTGTGGGGGCTGAGTGGGCTGGGTGATGTGAGGGGCCTTTCTAGCCTGTAGGAACAAGTGGTTAGCCCCTCACAAGTCACTATCTCTATGTTTAAAATGTATTAGAAAGACCAACAGAGATTTTTAAGGGAAACCATCAAAACAGCAAAGCACAGAACATCCGTAAGGGATGTGTTATTGCCCTGTGGCATTCAGCCTTGCCTGAAAATATTTGAAGGTCTAGACATAGTTATTTGGAAATAAGCTCATATAACTGAATTCAATACTACCATTTTCAGTCTTTCAGAATGACCAAAGTGAGCTTAGTGAAGTGTGGTGCAATCTGCAGAAACTGAAATTGTTTCATGAAGATAAGTGGGATAGGGTGTATACCCAGAGCTTTGAGTTCAGCCCTGATTTGATGATCATTGCCACCATCCTTTCTTTCTGTCCATGTGATAGACATGCTTACTGCAGTCTTTTAGTAAAATTAAAGTTGTTTATTGTGGCCGCCTAAATGTTGCTCCTCCAGATGTGCTGTCATGCGTATTTTCTTGTTAACCACTTTTGGGCTAAGGGTTTCACTTTCTTTCAGATTTCCGAAGCAGGTGGGTATTACAGTGTTGTTTTTAAAATGAAATTTTTTATTTGTGTAAGTCAATATTTATGTTACAGATGATTTTAAAGGAGAATTGTTTGAAATGAGGTATGAATACAAGGCTTTTAGAGGAGGCAATATGCAGAATGGATGGGATCATACAGATGCTCAGATACTATTGTCCTATTTGTCATTCGTTTTGTAGACTGAGCATAAAATATTGGTGGTTGTTAGTGTTTTAAAATGACAAACGAACACTATGAAAGATCCTTGTTTGCTTTGCTTATTTTCTCTCATGTAGTATTTTCTCCCAAGTAAAACCACCACAGTCATTTTGCTAAGTTTATAGGTGAGTATTCCTATACTGAATCTGAGATTGTCTGCCTCAAGAAAATTAGTCTTTCTGAAAACGTTGGTTACATTTGGTACTTAAGAGCAGAATTGTTTATTTTCCTCTGTGGTGAAAATCTTAAAAAAAGTCAAAGGTTTTTTTTCAGGGCAAGGTGGGGATAAATCCCAGAGTTTACCCAGTTTCTGTGTGGGCATCATGAGAGGGGGCATCCGTGCCGCAGGGTAAAGCAGCCTGCTGCACGCATGGATGAGCAGCACTTGGGAGCCAGGAGTCTCACCAAGCCCCCTGGCCAGCAAAGAACCAGCCACAGAGCTGAGGACCTGCTTAGTGGGGCCTGCCAAGAGCCAGGATTCCAAAAAGGGAGAAATCTTTGGTTTGGCAGCAGCCCACTCCAGCTGAAAGGCCCTGGAGACCACGCTGGGGAGCTGAGAGATGGGATTCACCTGTTCCTGCAACAGATGGGATCCTGTTGAATCAGCACTTTCCAAGCAAAGGGCATCAGTCAGAAAACCTTTTTCCAGATGTTAAACTACATCTGTTGTTTGTTTATTTTAGATTAGGCTTTTCATGAGGGCCCAGATTCGCACTCATTGCACGAAGTTCTTACACATGCTCAATTAAAAGATAGACTCTGCTGCTTCTTTAAAAGCAGAAATTCATTTCTCTTTTCTTTCCATGGAAAAATGCCACTGTGAATGCTTCAAGTTGTAACTGATGAGTGCTAAGATTGTTTGTGAACACAGTCCTTTCAAATATAGATATATCTAGGGCCACAGCTTCAGGAGGTGTGTTTGTGTACTCTCAGAAGCAGACAGTAAATAACAGCAGACTCTGGATGGCTGTGCCAAGTGACAGGAACAGGGGTGATAAATAGCTACTTTCTCTTCTTGTTTCCTTAGAAATTAGTTCTCAAGACTGTTATGATATTCCACGAACGTTTCTGAATGACAGATCTAATTCATTGGAGGGCTTCCATAACCACTTTGTAAGTATGACTTGATCTGATGAGAGGCAGCCGTGACAGTGTTTGAATGCTCTTTGTTCTGGTGTAAGAAAGCAAGCTGTGCTGTGTTTGTCATTTTTCGCTTTCAATAGAGTACAATAATCTGAGTAGATTAGGTTAAAAGACTCATATGATTCACAGCTGATTGCATAACGTATTTTGTTAAAGGAAATATATGTTAATTCTAGAAAAACAGAAGCATGTTGACAGTGGGAAGTGTTTCAAGTGAAGAACTAGATGAAAATTATGTCCCAATGAATCCCAACTCTCCTCCACGACAGCATTCCAGCAGCTTCACTGAACCCATCCAGGAAACAAACTATGTACCCATGATACCTGGCACGTTTGATTTTCCCTTGTTTGGAAAGCAAGTCCCTCCTCCTGCTCACATGGGTTTCAGGTCCAGCCCCAAGACCCCTCCCAGACGGTCGGTGCCTGCTGCAGAGTGCGAGCCGCCGCCCGTGGATCGGAACCTCAAACCCGACAGAAAAGGTGAGGAAAACCTCCAAGGAAACCTAATTTTTATCATCTAGGAAAATAACATAGCTCTCTCAACTTCTGCTTAGAGGAAAATTGTTATGTTTTTAGAAATTGTTTTAGAAATCATTTTTGCCCTATAACTAAATCACAGAGGAGCCCTGGCATTATTTTTAACATTTTAAAACACCACAATAACAATCCAAATAAAAGCATAGGTTTAGATTTTATTGCCATACTTACTAATGAAAAAATAACACTGAATTCCTAAGATTCAGAAGTGTATCCTTGTATATAGAAGACCCTTGTGATGGAGAGTGAGAACACAAGGCATTGGGTAGCGCACAAATTTATAGCCATAGCAGTGCTTGGTACAGGATCAGCACGCATATTCATTTTAGACGGCCCCTTTGAATCCTTCCTAAAAAATTAATCTCTAAAATCTGGCACAGAACATGTTTACTTTTCCTTGAAATAAGAATTATTTGGGTGACCAGACTTCTTAATGAGCCAAGATGATTGGGTTGCAATGTGTCAATACGTGATACTCATACAGAGAATCCCTAATAAATAGCTTGGATTTTCCAGTTCATCTAAAATGTTTCATCAGCCATCTTACTAAAAATACAGGCAAATACTTAAAAAACTTGTTTCCCTACTAAGTTTTTGAGTCAAGATAACTGACTGTCTTGTAGAAGAGGGAACTAAAGAACATCAGGTCAAATGTCTACCCTATTTTGCATTTGAGTAAGTCTTATTTTTAATCTTATGTACTTGAAAAGATTAGTATTTACATTGACAATGGCTGACTTCATTGTGGGAAAGTATAATGGCTAATATTCAGATGATCCAAAATATTCACTAATTAAACCTTTAAATTAGTATTTTTACCACTAAGTGAAAACTGTCTGTAATGAAGGGAAGTAGAGAGTGTCACTCTGATAGATGAGGTATGTGCAATGGAAAGCACCATTCCCCCTGTCCATCTTCAAAAATTGAGGCATGGCCTTTTTTAAGACTTTTGGCCCTCTGCTTGTGTCTAATTGTTTCTATGTTATCAGACAGCAGTTTTGTTTGGTTCTTAAGAAATACTGGACAGGAACAGATTGATGAAAGTTGATACTGGAAAACATTCTCAGAATAAACTGAACTGCACCAATTTAAAATATTTTTCCAGACTGGCCAGTTTGTGTATTTTACTGATAAAATGTTTGATCTTCAAAAGTAATAAATGTGTGTGTTGAAAAACATCTCAGTTTTGCTGTTGGCAGCACAAAGCTGCCGCACAGATGTTTGCTGGGGCAGCATCATTGCCCTTGGATATCTCTCTTTGGAACAGAATTAGTGTTTCACATTTACAGTGGCATGTAAGGCTCCTGCTTTGCTCCCATTCTCAAATGCCTTATAGCTGGAAAGATGTGGCTAACACCAGGGCAAGGACTTTAAGATGTGTTAACATACCATTAATGAATGTAGAGTTGCTGGGTGAAATTTTTGGCTGTATACTTTTGGAAAACGTTATCACTGTAAAATAATAGGATTGTTTAATGTAATTTAGAAACTAAAATGATTTTAAAGTAAAACTGTCCTTAAAAGTAAATATGATATGGTGCTTAGGGGCTGAAAAAAGTTTTGTGACTACCTTGAGCTGCCAAGCATGGTAGTGATTCGGATTTACCAGCAGGGGTTTTATCTTAGTAGCACACACACACAGAGAGATGGCCTCACTCTAATTTCATCAAATGCACCACTGCAAGTTTGCCATTGTTGTGAAGGACAGGTCTGATGACACATTGGAATGGTGATATATTCCCATTTCAGTAATTGAGATCTCTACACAAATAACTTCTTCGAGATATACCTTTGGGAAAATAAAACTGTAGGTTCCTTTGAATTAAATTATGTAAAGCCCTTGTTTAAATGGACCTTTACCTAACTAAAACAATGGTGTGCTTTATATTCTTCTGTGTTACCTTTTCAGCTTTCAAGTTCTTGTAGCAGCTTCTATTATCAGGTTGTTTCTGTTTATGTAAATGTGCTGCAATGCTCTTCTGCTACAAATTAGTGCAAAGGAAGTGTCAAGCAGGTCTGTGTGTTCAATAAATCTTTGGCAGACACAGCAGGGGAGGAAACAGAACATAAAATATTTACCTTCAGGCCATTGCTCCTGTAAATGTTGAGGGGATTAAATATGCCATTGGTTCAGGAATGTCTGTTGAAGACTGCTGGTGCTTCTCCCAAAGATGGTCTCTGAAGCACTGCAGAGATGGGGTGTGCTGGGGGTAAGGTGTGGTGAGGGCACCTTTCATGTTCTGTCAGAAGAAGGTGCTCTGTCTTTTTTGTTATAGGTTACAGATTGCTGCCAGAACAGTGTTGGCACTGCCTCTGAGCTTTGTGGAAGCTGTTAGAAATGCCATCAACACCTTTCACATGAGCTTTAGCTTTAGGTCAGTCACGTTTCTGTGGGCCAGGGAGGTTTGTTATATCCAGTGCTAAAAGTGCATTTGACAAAGGGACAATGCAGTGAAACCAACACATAAAGGAAGGATACACTGCTTTTTGTTGTCAAATATATGTGCTTAGCATCTCTTTTACTTTATTTTTAAGGGCTTGCTGCTTACAGCCTTAGACTCTTTGATCTCTCCAGTCTGTTTCTTTTTCCACTGATCTCTAGCAGACCTTTGTTTCAGAAAGTGGGTTAAAAATAATGATGAATAAAAGTATCTATAGCCTTGAGATTACAATACAGATGCGTGTAGTTTCATTTCTCTAGCTCACAGCTGCTTCTGTAGTTATGGGGAGCTTCCAGTATTTTCTGGAAATCTTGAAAGGAATTTCAAAACATGGTGTTGTCTCTCTGCCCCAATAACTTGAATCAAAACAGTTTTACTTGTTCTTTAGAGAAGAAGACCAAAAGGTAAGTGATGGATTGCTTGGGACAAAATGGAGACTGTTTGGCAGGTGCTTTTCTGCATTTGCCTGTAACTGAATGACAAAAATAATCTATTTTTTAGTTTGTTTTTTTTTCAGAGTGCTGTTTCTTTAGTTATGGAGGACCATTTGCTATATTTGTTTTCGTATTTCTGCTTTTTGGCTGCTTTAGCTTGCCACAATTGCATGTAGTCCTGATGCTAAATTGGAAGTGTGTTTGCTGGTAAAAGATTTCAAGCAGAAAAAATACTGCATCCACCCATGCAAATGGGTCTTGCTCTCTGAATTATTCCAAGACAGTGACTGGTTCTGCCACAGAGCAAAAGTGACATTTGTCGTGGTGGTGACCTGCCTTCTTCAAAATACTGTTTGTCCAAGAAGGAGCAGTGGAACTAAAGGTGCCCAAATGTTGTGAGATGAAGAAGGACTCCCTAGGCAGATTAGGCAGCAAAGAACAGCCAGGTTCTCTTTTCAAGTGACAAGTTTGTGGTCAAAATTAAAAGTAAAAAGATGTTAATTGTTTTTTTATGGGTCAGGAGGAAGCATTTGAGAGATGGGGTTCTCTGGGCATGGCAGTGACCCTCTCCTGCCATGGGATTTGTTTCCATGGCTGGGCAGAGGGGTATCTGATCTTAAAACAAGACTTTGAGACCAAACAACTACAAAAACAGACTTTGTTTTTTTTTTTTTTTAATTAACAGTTTAGGAGCTGTCCAGAATAAGTCCTTGTAGCTGTGTAATATTGTCCTATCTGAAAGGTTGAAATCTCGTAAGAAATACGTGCTTGACATCTTGACTGATAAAATACAGCTTTTCAATATCTGAATCAAAGTGAAAGGCAACAATGGAATTGGAGATGGTGGAGTTCACCTCCTCAAAATCTCAGCTTGATGCCCAGCTTACATTTAATTGTGAACTTCTTTTTTCTGTGTTAAAGCACATTTCTACCAAAGTGGACTTTTTAAGATTCTGGAAAAAAATATTTGAACAGTGAGCATATGGCTGAACTAACAACGGCCATGATAAAATGAAGGTCAAAAGTTAAATCTTATTCATTTGAATATAGTCTGTGATTGTAATGCATGCATGAATGAATATAAATATAAACTTTTTGATCAATAATACTTAAAAGCACTTTCTGAGAGAGCTCCATTTAGCTCAGGCCCTAATTCCAGGTCATGGGGAGCTGAGATTGAACAATGCCCTCAGGATCACTCAGCAAATTGCTGACAGAAACAATACAGAATTTAGAATTCCCAGCTTACGGCATGGTCCTGGGCTTTGCCTTGTTTGTCTTCAATGGAAACTTTGTCAAAATATTGTTAGGGTTTAATTGCATTCAAGATTATTTTGAACAATATTTTCAGTCCTAGTTTTGGATTGAGTGGCACAGATTATTGGTTATTTCGCTGATAGCAGAAATAACCAATAGTTAATGTGGTGCTTCGGTTGTTGGGGGGGGGGGTTGGGGTTTGGTGTTTTTGTGGGGTTTTTTGTTTGTTTGTTTTTGTTGGTTTTTTTGATGACTTATATTTCAACAAAAATATATCAGCATTTAATCTGAGAGGCTTCCTACAACTTAAGTCCGCATGATTGCCTTCAAAAGAGACTGCTGCTTGGCCCTGGTAATTTTCAGCCCATCGTGTGATCATGTGGTAAACTTGGATTTAGAGACAGTAAGTGATGCACACATTTATTTTCATGCCAAGAAAATACCCAGTTGCAGCTTGAAAACAAGAAAACAAACAAAAGAAACCAAGAGAGAGCAGGAAAATTCTCATGGAATTGGCAATCATGATTAAAAATGTTTAATTGTTTAATTGTTTTTGAGAATGTTTTAAAAGTTATCTTGTTGCTTTTGTCATAGTATTTTTTCTCATTTAAAATCTTAAAAGACGTAATCTGTGTGGTTAAACCACAAATATGCGTGGATTGCTTCTAAAAATGTGGCTGTATCTTTGCCACCACTCCTCACAAGCATCTCCCAAATGGATTAACTTGACAGAGAATTCCAGTTTTCTTTCTGAAAGAGCTGAGGCCCACTTTGCAAGGGTAATTGTGCGCAGGAAGCACCTGCCACATTC